CCCCCCGCGGCCCACCATGCACCTCCCGCGTAAGAAACCCAAAAACACACCCTCAATTTCATAATTCGTGCAAACAAGAATACCTCACCCCCAGGCATAACGCCTTCCTTGCCACTCGGCAGAATCCTGGTTTAGGCGGCCAGCACAAACCCATTCGCGCCCGTAGTCGCGCAGCTCGACGGTAAAAGACGTAGTCAGGCACCCGTGACGTCGTTGACATAGTCGACGCTGCTGCCCGCTCGCCCTTGTAGATGGTGGAGCAGATGGGTCCCCGTGGTGAAGCTCACGCCGTTGACGGCCTTGATGGCGGCCGCGGCGCCCCGTGCCAGGGACTGCAGCTCGTCGTTCTTGGGCGCCAGGGCGGTGCACGAGTAGCCGTAAGCTGTTTGGGGGTGTTAGTTTGGGACTCGGTTTGTGGTCAAACGTTGGTGGTGTTTGGACTTGGTTGGGGGGTGGTAGGGGTGCGTACGGGTCATCAGCAGCTGCGAGTAGGCGTGCCAGTCGATGAAGAGCTTGACGCCCTGTGCTGCCTGGGTCTTCTTTAGCCAGTCGGCCAACACGACCGTCTCGGGAGCATCTCCTTCGGCTTTGCCCTTGAAATCCTCGGCGCAGGGGTTGCTGGAGGCACCCCCGCTGGTGGACCACTTGTACGGCCAGTTGCGGTTGATGTCGTGCCCGATGCAGCTGCTGCCGGACGTGGTCTGTCGGTTCTTGCGCCACATGCGGTCCGACTCCTGCGTGTAAATAAAGCCTATGGCGCCGTTGTCAGCAACCATCCGCAGTGGAAATGAAGGGATAACTAAGAGGTGAGTTGCGCTCTTACCGTCAGGGTTGACTACCGGGAAGAAAATAAAGTCGTATTTGTCGAGGAAGCCTGCGACTTCGGCATTGTCGGAGGTGGTCAGCAAGTTGAATGCCAGGTATTCGACGACCTGAGCCTGGGTTAGTCAAGGTGCCCAGACGCCTAAAACCCCGGCCTGTTTCCGTAGTAGCTCACCATGGTAGAGATCCACTCCCGCGCGTGAACGGTGCCGTGGAACACAACGGCGGGCTTGCCTTTGCCGGCCTTGCCCCAGAAGTGAATGCCGGTAATGGCGTTCCCCTTCAGCGAGTTTCCAGCCGAGACCACCTGTGACTGGTTCAGATACTGGGAATGGAGATCATCCAAGAACTGCAGGTGTTCGCTGTACTTGTGGTACGAGTTGAACTACGTGGCATTGGCGGACCCGGCTGATGCATGGTAGGAGAGTCAGCAAACATTCAATGACATGGAACCATCTCCTAGGGAACGGGCGACATACCGGCATAGACACTGAATGATGCTTCGTCGGCGATTGATGCGCCCAAGTCGTCGTGCATGGTGACCGCCTTCATGCCGGCAATCTCGGCCTCAAAAGCACCGATCAGGGAGGGCGGAACCACAATGTCGGCGTCAGCGTTGGCGCGGGGCTTTCCCTTCCATGTTGTGAGGCCGAGTCTGTCGACGATGTTTTGGACCTTGGCGACGTGCTCACCGACCGTCAGGCGAACGACCTTGTATCCGTCGTACGACTTCTTCTCCGACGACGGGACAGACGCGGCCGACGCGAGGGCGAGAAGCCCGCCTGAGACAAGAAGAGAGTACCGCATGTTGAGCCGGGTGAGGGGATTTCGGGTCTCGGCCTGGGTTGCTCGTCGGCTGGTTGGGTCAGGGTCATTGGGCTTTAAACGAAGATCTTATACACCGCTCTGGTAGGATTTGAGTACCGCGTTGATCGGCGCCGAAACGAGGAATGGATCAGCTGGGTTCCCCTTGGCGGGCTCTTTCTTGCGTTTTCTCGGCCCCCCTCGCTGAGCAAACCGAACAAACTACAGCAACCTTGGTGCATGACGTGCATCTGAACTTCCGTGTACGGGAGGTGAGACGGTGTTGCGAGCCCCTAATTGGGTTGCTGTAACCTTCCATCTGAGGATGGATCGAGAGCCCAACGCACCAAGCCCAGGCCTCCAAAGGCCCCCACGAGGAATGCCTGGCGGACACCTTCCCAAAGGAGGGTTGGTCCCGATTGCGAAAGGCAAGATTGGCGGGCCATGGCGCGGGAGCTGCCGCATCCCATCCTATCTCCGCGATGGACTTGCCCAGGGGGGCAGTCTGACTTTTATGCGACGCCGGCAGTCAGCCATGTGCCGTCCTATCTTGGCTGTTACAGAAATGGCCTGCATTAACGGACCCGGGTAGGGGGAAATTGACTGCGCACAGCGTTGTTTAGCCGAAACAGCTAGTTCGTCCGCTCTTTTGTGGATGCTCAGGTACCAGTGTTGTAAGATGAGGGGTATGCAAAGAGGATACAAAAATGGACCCGTGTATGAAGATACGAAAGAAAGGCTCATGTAGGTATGCGTACCTAGTATCTATCGCGACAACTCAGAGGTGACTTTCCCGAATAATTGAAGACGTCAATACCTACCGACTAATATGGGTTATGACGTGAATCATGGATACCTATGCAAAACTTGATAGTGATCTGTACTCACATGTAAGATGGCATGGAAACCAAGCCTACAAGCAGGCGTGGAGAGAGTTGGATTTTGTCAAGGGAATTGAGGGTTTTCTTGCTACAAGAGGCAGAGTTGAGGGTTATTCGGACGCAGGAAAGCTGTTTCGACAACTGACCATACTACGCAGCTGACTCATCCATCAATCTTCCCACATCAGACCCCCTCCTTCTCTCCCTCTCCTCGCCCCTTAAACCCAACTACCAGATTTCCCAAACCTCCCAACATCACATCACCACGACTCAAAATGGCCCATACCAACACCAACAACCCCTCCTCAGAACCCCCCAACCACAACGCACCCGCCACCTCCCTCTACTCGGACGCATCCAGCTCCTACTGGCCTTCCGGCTGGAACTTCGATAAACTCAGCCGCGCCACAGCCGAAGACCACGCGTCCCTGCCCGCAAGCGAGCTCGCAAAGATGCAAGCCGGCCTGCGCGACTTGCTAGGCGAGAGCGGGGTAAGCGCGCTCTCGATGCACCTGTTTCGCGAGGAGCAGAAGCGCGCAAAGGACAGCAAGCCGGAACCGGCAAGGCCCGTGTCTGTGCCGAATTGGTTGCGCGAGTGGAGGGTGGCGGCATCGTGGGCGGAAAATGAGAGTTAGTGGTGTTTCGGACGGTGATGTATGGTGATGAGGAGGGGTGGGAGGGGTATAAGAGGAGGTTGGAGGGGGTTGTGAGGGTGGCTTTTAGCAGGGAGGAGGAAAAGGGGTTGGAGGACTGGGAGGAGGGAAAGGAAAACTTTGAGCTTCGGTGGGTTGAGGATTCGCGGTTGGCTGGGGCCGATGCGGCGGCGTTGAGGAGGAGGTATGAGGAGCTCGAAAAGGAGCTGCCGGCTGGGTTGTCACATGGCCTGTTTCTCTGCGCTTCGCAGGAGGCGGTCGACTCCGTCACGTCTCTTCGCGATGATGAGCTGCCGACTTTCGAGTCGATGCTCTGGCGACCCACGGCTCCGTTCTTACTTGCTGTCTCTGCATATGCGGATAGCGAACTGGAGGAGGACCATGAAGAGAACGAGTGGTTTCAACCCGTGTTCAAGGTCGCGGCGGAAACTATGGCCGGCGAACTTTGGCCGCTCCTCGACTCCGGGGGGATGCCATTAACGAGAATCACGCGCTTTGTCAAGGGCTCGAGCGAGCTGGGGCCAGTGGGAACATTAGATGATGAGAAGCTGGAAAACATTTGGTGGACTATGGCACCTTCACCAGAACGGTTGAGAAGGCGGCGCGGTGTATAGTAATTGTAGGCTGTCGAATTGTTTACTCAGGATTCGAATCACAACTCTCTAGATGACATTAAGATGATTGATGTATGTTTCAATTCGGTCGAACCACTTTTGGGAGTGAGTTGTCTAGATGATGTATGTAATGGTCTACAATAACTAAAATCTTGATATAAACTTGTCCGTCTACTGGTCTAAATTGACCTGAATCACTCAACGCGTCCCGGAGGAGATCATATTATACATCCTGCTAATATAAATTTTGCTGAATTTAATGATACTATTAGCTTCACCGTATCCCGACTTCTCGGAGAGTTCTTGCCAAAAGATTAGTCTCTAGATAATGGTTGCTTGGAAGGACTGACAGGAGGTTTACCCCGCGATAGGCGGGTAATCGGTACACAGCAAACTTTCGTTACAAAGCAACTCCGTCACTAACAATTTTGAAGTCGAGGTCCTTCGATCCTAACAAGACCATTTCAATTTATTGCTCAGCAACGAATCGTGTCACCGGCGTCGGTTTGCCTTCATTCAGTTTGCAAAATTCAGTCGAGTCGAGCGCGATGGTTTTCCATGATAGTAGCTCCTGAATTGCAGTCCTGATATGAAGAGACTTAATGGTACGCCTCCTGCCGGTTTTCGAGCTGCTAATTGTGGGTTTCAACTTGTACTACCGCGGTCTCCAGTAACAGCAATCTCTCAGGAATCCTACCGCTCATGGACATTGACAGGGCTTCGTGAAGACGCGTTTGACCGCGTTCTTGCAAGCCTGTGAGCGTCAGCTAAAATCTACAATATAAAATTTTCTTTGCCCCCATCAACATGTCATCTTCCTTCTTCCTCCTCTCAGCAGACAAGCGAGATCGCATCCAGTTCTTTCTCGACTCACTTGAGCCCACTCCACCGAACATGAGCGACATGTCGCAGGACAGCCTGCGGTCATCCAGCCTCTCCGAGTCGCTGCTCTCCGATCCCATTGACCCCCCCTTGAGCGAGACCGGTACCACCCTGCCCTCCGAGCCTTCACAACGTCCTCAAACGTGGGACGATGTCCCTCAAACCTACAAAGTCGGTGATGGTGGCGTGCATCTCATGCCAAGGATGGGCATCACAAGGGGTTGGTTCTGGGAATACGGATTCAGAGTTCGCAGGAAAGAAGACAACCCCAAGGTCATCCGTTGGCTCTGCAAGGCCTGTTCCTGCGCGAAGAGACCACCGAGAAACCCGTATACCCTCCTTGCGTCGAACTCCGAGAACATCTACAGGCACCTTGCAGTTCAACACAAGATCTTCTCAGAAGACCCTAGCCAAGCCGACAAGTACAGAAAGAGGCCGGCCCTCCACCACCAGTCCTCGATCGATCCATTCACAAAGAAACGGAAAGTCGACGCAGCCTTTGAGCAAGATCAGATTGCTCGGTTTGACAAGATGAAGTTCCGACGGCTCATTGTCAACTGGCTTGTTGAAACGAACTTGCCCTTCACCGCAGCCACCAGCCCAGCCCTTCAAGCTGCCTTCCACTACGCTAATCCTCAAGTGGCGGCCCAACAAGCGATGCCGGACCCTCGGGCTGTCAGGAAGCAGATCTTGAGCGACTTTTACAAGTACAAGAGTCGTGTGACGGAGGCATTGGCACGGAGTCCTGGGCAGGTACACATTGCATTTGATGGATGGACCTCTCTTAACCGTCACGGCTTTTTGGCCATCAACGCTCAGTTTCTTGATGAGAACTTTGAGCCGAGGAAGGTCCTTCTCGATCTACCTCATGTGGAAGGGAATCACACCGGTGTCAATATGGCTGCGCACGTCGAAGAGGTCCTCCAGCAGTTTGGTATCACAACTACGTCGACTCAACTCGGCTACTTCACAGTTGACAACGCTTCCAACAACGATACGGCACTGGCAGAACTCGTGGCCCTTAAAGGACTTGAAGCTCGTGACGCCCCGAAGATCCGAATTCGTTGCTTCGGCCACATTCTCAATCTGGTCGCTCGTGCCCTGTTGTACCCCAAAGAAGCACAACTCCCAGAGGATATCGACGAAGACGACTTTGATAGCTGGAGGAGATCTGGGCCAATTGGCCGCCTGCATAACCTCGTATTCTGGATACACCGGTCCCAGTTGGCAACCGACTTCCTACGCAACCTCCAGAAAGAGGCCGGCCGTACGAAGACTCTTGACGTGGTGGTTGACAACGCGACACGGTGGCTTTCACAATTCGACATGATGAAGCGGGCACTCGAGCTGCAGCCGTTTATTGAGGAGCTTGTTGGTGAGGCCAGCTCACAGTTTGCAACCGGGCGATCTCAATCACAGCGGCAGAGACGCCCGCTCGCGGGGCTCCATGTGTTTGGCAAGAAACCTGCTTGTCTTGTGGGCGATAACATCCTGACCAAGGATGACTGGAGCGCGATTCAATGGTTCTGCGCGATCCTGGAACATTTTGAGAAACGTCTCAAGATGTTGGAACGGGATAACCAGCTCCGAGTTCGCCGGGGGGGCAGGACGACCCGACTCAGTGGCATTTGGGAGGTCTTCTCAGCGTTTGATCAGCTGCTTCACAAGCTTGAGGATGCTAAGGTTGAGGCAAAGTGTCGCCCAGCGCCGAGCTATTATCAAGGATGTGTCCACGCTGCTTGGGACAAACTTGATCAATACTGGTCCAAGATCGCCGAATCGCCTATCTACTACGCCGCCACCGTCCTCCACCCCGGATTTGGTCTGCAGTATCTCACCGGCGCCCTTCAGGATCAGCCAGAAAAAGGCCTTTCACGCATCGAGGCCATGGCCGCCAAGAAGAGAGGGCGTGAGTGGGCAGCTGAGGCCGAGAAGATGGTACGTGGTCTCTGGGAACAACAATATCGAGATCTTGACCCTGATCCTCGATGGGGTGTGTTATCTCCAGCCTCTCCAGATATGGACCACTCGGATCTCGACGAGGAAGAGCGAGCCATACACCGCAAACGCAACCTCAGCACAATCAGAAGCGGGCCATCAACTACACAAGCGGTCGATGAACTGGATCGTTGGCTTCTCTCAGTCGAGGGGAGATACCTTTCTCCCAAGGCCGACCCGATTAAGTACTGGGTGGACCGCCGCTTCGAATATCCCCGACTGGCAAAGATGGCCTTTGACGTGCTCAACGTCCCTCCTATGGCAGCTGAGTGTGAGAGAACATTCTCAGCTGCTGGCTGCATGGTCACGCCACGACGGACACGCCTTGGAACTGACGTGATCTCTGTTGTTCAAACGATCAGATCGTGGGTGAAGGCCGGATTGATGGATGACTATGATGGAATCGCCCTCCGAGATGTAGGCATTGAGGCGCTTGAGGATGGAATATCCTGGCAAACTGAAGGTGAAATAGCATGAGGAGGCCGACTCGTGGCTAGGTAGAAGTATGTTAGAAGTCATGGGTCCTGTTATCGGAACATCCTTACCCGCCCAAGCCTTGGCAATCTACCTAAATAGAATCTACATTGATAGAATAGCTTCCTATTATATCACCTCTACCTCGGGTCGGCTGACTAATGTATCTATTCTATCTACTTTGGGGTCGCCGTGGGTAGAAGTGGATAGATGCAGAACCCTGATCCCGAACATGTTACTCCAGACCAGCCCACTGTAACATCGCTACTCCCATAGGTAATCAGGGCTCGCTCTAACAGACACTGTATGTAAACCTCGGCCAATTTGGCAAAAGCTCACCGGCTAGCTCCATTCGCGGTCGAAGGGAGGTAGCCGGTTACGAAACCCACTTCGAGGCGGGTTTACTCCGTGGTGCAGCTCCGTGATACCCCGTCGGGCCGATGGGAGCTGCTCGTTTCTACATTTGGAGGATTCCGCCAGTGTCCCGGCGCCCCCTAAGAAAATCTCCGTACTAGCATCATGATTCGAACCTATAGCCTCCCTTAAGACCGGGTACGTGTCAAGGTGAACTAGCCAGCACGGGCCGAGGAGCCACCGCTAGTAACCGTTAGGCTACCCGGTCCGTGGTCCTCGTTGGAATTCAGCTGCGAGTTCCTTCCTTATATTGTCTGGGAGAGCCGTCTAATCTTTTCGATTCTGAGCACGCTTTTTACTGGGCCAGCTCACCACGCGTCGTCAATTAAATGCACACGCGACCCTGTTCTCCAAAAAAGTTGACCCATCCGTGATCAATTACCACCCGACTTCGGCTAGGTCGAAAATGGAACGAGGTGACAAGGCATTCTTGTCAAGTCTTTTAATTGCATGAAGTTGCGCCTTGCCGTGGAGCCGGGTATCAAGCAGTTCCTTGGTATTGATGCCACGAATGGCCGCCATGTAACTAGGTGCTAGGTTTGGTAAGGCGAAGATGAAGACCATCAGTGGTGTCTCGGTTTGTGTATGGAAGCCCGTGAGTTCGCCTAACAACACCTGAGCCCGTGGTTCGGATAGGATTGCCGGTAGGATTAAGTCTGTGGAACCCGCATTGCCTCCATTACCTGCGGAGGCCTCACCTGCCAGACGTTTGGCCCCCACCGTGTCAGAATATCGGGGTGGAGGCTTCGGATATGAAGAAAACGGGGCATGTTTAGCTTAACCATCACTTCTCATTTCGACGGGTAAAAACCCCAAGGGGACCCACATGTCGGAGTCTGAACGAGGAGACACCGAAAACAATAAAACGGACGCGGAACAAGCGCGGACAACAACCATACTTGATTGCCTGATTGGACCAGTGAATCCCGTATTCTGACAATTAAGAGTCTCATCCCGCTCTACAATACCAATTGAGCTTCCTCTGAATACGGCTATCTTACCTCTGAGAGCAATACCGCGCTTTCGACACTCCAGAGCCCGATCGATTCACCGACAACTCCGGAAGACATCATGACGACCGATCAGACAAAAAGTCAGTCTCGATTCGTCTATCTAGACGGCCCCGGCGACTGGGAAGTCTGGGAACAAGACTTCTTGAGCAAAGTCAAGCTCCAACGCGTCTGGGACCAAGTCCAGGGAACGAAGCCCCTGAGGAAAGAACCGATATGCCCGGAACCCGATCAGGGCTACGCAACCCGAGCGAACGCGGCCCGAGGCGCGCAATCCGCGACAGACTCGACAATCACCGTAGCTTCAGGCTCTCGACCGATATCCGTGGCGGATCTCACCGACGGCGGCCGCACTCGATTCAACGAAGACATGGCAACCTACATCCGTCTGGAAACCCTCTACGTGCAAGAAGCGAAGGCCATGGCAGAAATCGGCGAGTTCGTCATCAAGACCGTCAACCCGAAGTATCGACGGACCTGCTGCAAAGCAGATGACTCGATCTCCCAGTGGTACATCAACCTGAAGAAAGAGGTGGGAGCCACAACCGAATGGGGATACAACAAAGCCAGCAACGATTACCACGAAGCCCTCAAGCCATTAGCGAAAATCAAGGACTATGAGACCTTCATCGACAAATGGGAAACGGCATTTTCCGTCGCCAACGACAAGGGAGTCGCCGAGACGCTCAACTACCTCTCGTGGTCGCGGGATTTTTTCCGATCCATCAAGAACGTTCCAGAGGCTATCGCGTGGGGAATATCATACCGTCAAACCAAAGGGCAAGACTTCCAAGAAGGGAAGCTCACGTATCGTGACTTTGCGGTGGACTTTCGCAACGAGATGGGCCTGGTCGCGCCCACAACAATGCACAAAAAGATTGGGAGAGGTGCATTTGGACCTACCTACGCGGATCAGGAGGCCAACGACCAAAACGCAGAAGGCGCATCCAGAGGGCGGGGAGGACGCACCCGTTCAGGCAAGAAACGCACGCGAGACAACCGATCGTTTTCGTCGAAGTGCATGCTCTGTGACGTCCCGGGACACAAGATCGAGGAGTGTTTCTTTCTGTCCCAACAAGCCCCAACCTGGTTTAAGCCAACGGATGAGAAAAGAGAGGAGATTGAAGCTCGCATTGAAGAAGATGTGAACATCAAGAGGATTGTTCAAGGCATGAGGGGCAAGCGCCCTAGGACAGGAACCAGATCGGGAAGCAGCCGATCAGCGTCCGAAAGACTCACCAAACAAGAAGGGACACCGGTTATCGAGGATTGACTCGCCGGCCGGAGAGTGGGATCCATTGAGGAGGCATCGTTCATAGCCATCAAGGCATCGTTCTCAACCAGATCCACATATCCCTTGCTCCTATCGGCAATTCTGGACTCAGGGACTACCATCCACATCTTCAACCAAGAGGAGAGGTTCTTCAATAAAAGACCAGCGCTTCCTGACGACTATATCGTGGCAGGAGACTCCCGATTAGCCGTCAGGGGATACGGAGACGTAACCATCCAGTTGGGGACCACGCGGAAGGTCATGAGACTTCGAGACGTGGCATTCATCCCTAGCATTCAGTGCAACTTGGTCTCCTTGCGTCTCATCAGACGGCAGGGATTTTACTGGGACAACCGAAATGACCCAACCCTCCTCAGGAGAAGAGTAGACAACTCTGTGGTGTGTCGACTCCGGGACCTACACGGGCAGTACGTCATCGAATACAACGACGCCATTTCCAACCATGCATCTTTTGCAACCCGATCAGCACGCTGGACGAACTGGAAACGACCATCAGTCACAGCAGAAGCCCAGAAATGGCACCTCCGATACGGGCATCCAGGACCAGAGGCCTTAGCCCGACTGCAGCGGACAGCTCAGGGGGTGAAGATCAGAGGGCCAACCACAGTCCAGTGCGAGGCATGCGCCAAGAGCAAGATCAAGCGACAGATCAGTCGTCGTCCACGCCAATTTACCCAAGGGGTAGGCGAGAGACTAGCCGTCGATTTCCACGAATACACCCAAGGATACGAAGGATTCAAGCACCTGATGCTGGTCACCGATCGCTGGTCTGGACTGGTCTGGGATTTCTACCTCACCGATCGGAAGGGGAAGACACTTGTGGAAGCCTTTGACGGACTCTGGATCTACCTGGACACGCAGTACAGGATTCGCCCCGCGGTCATCGAGACCGACAACGAAGTCATGAAACATGACGGGATCATTTCATGGGCAGCCGAGAAAGGTATCCGTTTCGAGCCCTCAGCACCGTACACTCAAGCACAGAACGGCGGCGCAGAGCGCTCAGGGGGTGTGATCAAAGAAAAGGCGAGAGCGATCCGAGAGTCAGCAAAATTTCCAGAGTTCCTTTGGCCAGAAATCGTCAAAGCAGCAGTCTATCTTCATAATCGCACTCCGACGCTGATCAACCATTGGAAATCACCATACGAGCGATTCCACACACAGATCGGAACCCACGCGGGAGGATTCGCCCAGGCAAGGAAGCCTGAAGGCACGCATCTGAAAGCGTACGGATGCAAGGCATACGCCATGACGGCGAAAGCACAAGAGAAGAAGGATCGAATCAGGAGATTCAACCCCAAGGCTTGGGTAGGATATTTGATCGGATATCAATCGTCCAACATCTATCGAGTATGGGTTCCCTCGCTCAATCGCGTCATCAGCACCAGGGACGTGATCTTCAACGAAGACGAGTTCTTCAGCGGCAACGTGGAACAACTGCGAGACGACTTGCGGATCCTCAACGAAGAGGACCTGAAGAAGGCCTTGGACACTGCCGAATTACCCGAACCCGACCTAGAGGACGAGCCAACAGGCCGATCAGGAGAAGACGAGGAAGTGATGGACATGGGAGATCCTCTGGATCCAGTGGAAGACTCAAGCTCAGAGTCGAAGCTCACCTCTACACGATTCGAGCCTCTCCCTACTCCGCCTCAGTCCCCTCCAGCAGCGTTCTTCACCACCATGTACGAGAAAACGTCATATGACGAGCCCCAGGACCAGGAGTCAACCTACAATGCTTGGCAGGGTGTTGAAGCCTACAATGTCTCGAGGCAAGAAGGCCCGAGGCAGGCGACTTCCCCCTACAATGTCAAGCAGGTTGCAGCGGCCTACAATGCCAGTCAGGTTGAAGTAACCTACAATGACACCCAGCAGGCTACCCCGTGGGAGCAGGCCTACAATGCTGGAAGGCAGACCGCTGATCCGAAGTCCGCGAGGGGAGAAGCGTATCAAGCGCGCAGACGTCGGCTTAGACCGATGCGATCCGGTTACACGGACGCAAACAAAGGGACGATCCTCGAGCGACTGAAGGCTCTACAAAGGACTCACAGATCAGAACTGCCAGTACCCCCAAAGAACGGGAGAGTGCAGGATCACCCCTAAAGGAACTGTTCCATCAAGCGGAACTCGATCACCTGAAGAGCCATGACCAGATGCAGTCCTGGAGAGAAGTTCCCAGGACTGTGGCCCAAGGCAAACAGATCCTTGGTTGCATGTGGGTATACGTCTACAAGACGGACAAGCACGGTTACTTTGTGAAGTGCAAGGCTCGTCTGGTCGTGAGAGGAGACCAGCAGCGGTGGTCAGCAGGCGAAGAGACCTATGCCGCGACACTGGCTGGCCGATCGTTTAGAACTCTGATGAGCATTGCTGCCCGCTTTGATCTAGAACTGACTCAATATGACGCAGTCAACGCGTTCGTTAACGCGAAGCTCCCGTACGAAGTGTACATGGAGATGCCACGAGGTCACCGAAAGGGCGATACGATCCTGAAACTCGAGAAGGCCCTCTATGGATTGAGAATATCACCCCTCCTATGGCAAAAGGAACTGACAACCACCATGATCGAACTGGGATTTGTTCAGATCCCTCATGAGCCCTGCTGTTTCAAGAAGGACGGCATCCTTGTGTTCTTTTACGTCGATGACATAGTCTTCGCGTTCCGCAAAGAAAAGAGACTCCTAGAAAAGGTTCTCGCCGCGAAGCTGGGTCAGCGATACGAACTCTCAGGGGGTGGGGGACTTCAATGGTTCCTCGGGATCGAAGTGATCAGAGACCGGACAAAACGTTTGATCAGGCTCTCTCAGACGGCGTATATCGACAAGATCAGCAAGCTGATTCGAGGACCGGCGAAAAGCGAGGTGCCAATGGGCCGAAACGAACTCCTACCATACGATGGTGTGACTACCGCCTCCGATCTGAACTGGTACCAGAGAACGATCGGATCGATCCTGTTTGCCGCCGTACAGACAAGGGCCGATATCTCTTTTGCAACATCAAGACTGGCTCGATTTCTCAACAACCCGGGGCCACAGCACTGCCAAGCTGCCGATCAGGTCCTAACTTACCTCAAGAGGACGCGAAACTACGCCCTTCAACTTGGAGGAGCAGACACGCTTGACATTGCCAGTGACGCCTCATTTGCTGACAATTCGCTTGACCGGAAGAGCTCCCAGGGACTGGCCATGAAACTATTTGGAGGTCTGATCGCATGGAGGGCTAACAAGCAAGATACGGTCACCACGTCAACCACGGAGGCCGAACTCCTTTCCCTTTCGCAAGCAGCCAAGGAAGCACTCTTCATCGACAGGCTTCTCAAAGAGCTGACAGTCGCTCTCGAAGACAACTACCTCACGATCCAATGCGACAACATCCAGACGATTAGACTGGTGAACCGAGACACAGTCACCCTTCAGACCAAACTGCGCCACGTGGATATCCACAATCACTGGATTCGCCAGGAAGTCAACAACGGTCGGATCAGAGTCGTGTACACGCCTTCAGACAAGATGATTGCCGACGGCTTCACGAAGGCGCTGCAGAGGGAGAAGTGGCAAGGGTTTCTAGACTGTCTGAGCATTGTGGAGGTGGAGGATCATTTACGAAGGCCACCAGCCGCCAGATCAGACGAGCATGAACCCCGTTCAAAGTAACTGCAGCCTTGCCAGAAAGGCAACGCTGAGGGGGTGTGTCAGAATATCGGGGTGGAGGCTTCGGATATGAAGAAAACGGGGCATGTTTAGCTTAACCATCACTTCTCATTTCGACGGGTAAAAACCCCAAGGGGACCCACATGTCGGAGTCTGAACGAGGAGACACCGAAAACAATAAAACGGACGCGGAACAAGCGCGGACAACAACCATACTTGATTGCCTGATTGGACCAGTGAATCCCGTATTCTGACACACCGCCGTTACACTGTTTGATGTCTGGTGCTGTTGAGCCCATGACCGCCAAGCGGGCGCAGCAAGATGAAATTCCATTTATAAAGATTGGTAGTTACCCATCTTTCCAAGAGCCACGCACATGACATCACACACCTGAACCCCTCTCCTCTTTACTATGATGTTGTCACAGGTTCACAGCGTACCACCCAATCCCAAGTTCCCCAACACAACATCACCATCCACCACCATGACTTCCCTCGAGACCACCATCTCGCAAGCAGCCGCCAAGAACACCGAGCTCCTCCGCGTGCTGTCCGAAACGGACTATGCCGCGCCGGCACTGGAACAACAAAAGCAGCTCATCACAGACCTCGAGTCCGAAGCTGCCGAAAGCGACAAGCGCCTCTCCATCATGGACATCAAGCGCGTGCGGGAGTTCAGCGACCACAAAGAATACCGCGACTCGGTCCTCCGCCGCTTCCTCTTCAAAGCCGCCGGCCAGCGCGCCGCGTTCGAAGCCCGCGCCCAAAAGGAAGAAACCGAATACTTCCAAGCCCTCCAAGCCCTCCAAAGCGAACAACAAGTCAACACCAACATCAAATCCCAGCTCACCGCCGCCCGCCAAGCCGCCACCGACCTCTCCGCCCAAGTCACCCGGCACACCACCGCGCAACAATCCCTCGACCAGCTCTACGAGTCCATCTTCAGCGGGCCCACCCCCTCCCTCCCGGGCGAAGACGAGCATGAGCAGCGCGCCACCGCCGCGCAGCGCGCCTACCTGGATGTCCGCGGACGCGCCGAGGCCGAGCAGATGGCGGTGCGGCTGCTGGCGGGGGCGCAGCGGGGGATGGCCAACGCGAGCAAGTCCATGGAGCAGGCGCTGACGGCGTCGCGGCATGATATGTGGGGGAGTGGGGGGTCGATCGCGGATATGATGGAGCGGAACGCGCTGCAGCGGGCGGAGGGCGAGATGATGGCGGCGCGGATGCAGGTCGTGCAGGCGAGGGGGTTTAGTGCCGCTGGTCGGGGAGCTGCCGGTGGTAGAGATTGATCATGGCCATTTGTTGAGTGATGTGTTTTTTGATAATATTTTTACGGATTTGGCGTTTCATGATAAGATCAAAGACGTCGGCGGCCAAGGTGCGGCAGGCGTCGACGCGGCTGGATGTTATGGCTGCTGAGGCTGGGGTGAGAGCGCGGGACTTGGATGCTGAGTTGAAGAGGAGGGAGGAGGAGTTGCGGGAGGCGAGGGTGGCGCTGCAGAAGATCCGGGAGAAGGCGTTTGAGACATATTCTGTGGCTCCTCCAGCGTATTGAATGGACCGCGGTGTAGAGGTTGTTGTTTCTTTCTTGTTTTATGTTTAGCGTTGAATCCTGATAAACAGATTTGGTTCTTCTTCATTTTACCAGAGCATGGAGCTTTCTCGACGGAATGGTTCGCGGGCTTGGATATCGGCACTGCTTACCGGTATGAACAGACCGCACGAGTATCAATGTGAAATCGCACGTAGGTATTTAGGTACAGAGGCCCCGAACAGATGGTGCATCCGACCTGCATGGGACCGTTACAATCCGCATCGGTGGAGGTGAACACGCAATGTTGAGTTGACTCGAGCGTACCTAGGTACCTAAGTCTATGCTCGGCACACTCCAGGGGTCC